CTTTGGGCTTTCCGAAAAGGTATCACATACTAAGTTTAGCCTCACGGTTTAAAAGTTCTAGAGTCATACATTTTTAACAAAAAAAAAAAAAAAAAAAAAAAAAGGAGGGATGCAAAATGAGGACTTTCCTAGAGGTCACCCATCCTAGTACTACTCTCGCCCAAGCCCGCTTAACTGCGGAGTTTTGATGGGATCTGGTGCATTAGTGCTGGTATGATCGCATTCGTTAGTACATGCAATGCAATCGTATCTATTCTTTTTTGAAGACTTTATGATCCAATTGCCGTGGGTCCCACCATCTATGTAGGAATACCCTTTCTTGTTTCTAAGAGCTTTGATACATGCTAAATCTTCGAGAACAATGTCCGAACATATAATTTTCGCCCCGTAATATAGCAAAGATCATGAAAAGGTTAGAAAAAGTGCATTAAGGTCAAAATTTAGAGTAGAAAAAAAAACATTAGAAGAATTCCAATGTCTTTCCTCATTCATTGGAGAGCTCTCTTTGGGCTTTCCGAAAAGGTATCACATGCCAAGTTTGGCCTCACGGTCTAAAATTTACAGAGTCATACAGTTTTATAAAAAAGAATAGAGAAAATCGAAAAAAAAAGAGGGATGCAACACGAGAACTTTCGAGAGGTCACCAATCTAGTACTACTCTCGCCCAAGCACGCTTAACTGCGGAGTTTTGATAGGATCCGGTGCATTAGTGCTGGTACGATCGCATCTGTTACTACATGCAATGCAATCGTATATATTCTTTTTTGAAGACTTTATGATCCATTTGTCGTGGGTCCCACCATCTATGTAGGAATACCCTTTCTTGTTTAGAAGAGCTTTGATACATGCTAAATATTCGAAAACAATGTCCGAACATATAAATTTTGCCCCGTAATATAGCAAAGATCACGAAAAGGCCCGAAAAAGTACACTAAGGTCAAAATTTGGAGTAGAAAAAAAAAACAATAAAAGAATTCCATTTTCCTTCCTCATTCATCAGAGAGCTCTCTTTGGGCTTTCCGAAAAGGTATCACATGCCAAGTTTGGCCTCACGGTCTTAAAGTTCTAGAGTCATGCATTTTTAACAAAAAAAATGAAGAGAAAAACCGAAAAAAAAGAGGGATGCAACACGAGGACTTTCCTGGAGGTCACCCATACTAGTACTTCTCTCACCCAAGCACGCTTAACTGCGGAGTTCTGATGGGATCCGGTCCATTAGTGCTGGTATGATCGCATCTGTTACTAAATGCAATGCAATCGTATCTATTCTTTTTTGAAGACTTTATGATCCATTTGTCGTGGGTCCCACCATCTATGTAGGAATACCCTTTCTTGTTTATAAGAGCTTTGATACATACTAAATATTCGAAAACAATGTCCGAACATATAATTTTCGCCCCGTAAGATAGCAAAGATCACGAAAAGGCCCAAAAAAGTACATTAAGGTCAAAATTTGGAGTAGAAAAGAAAACCAATAGAAGAATTCCATTTTCCTTCCTCATTTATCAGAGAGCTCTCTTTGGGCTTTCTGAAAAGGTATCACATGCCAAGTGTTTGGCCTCATGGTCTAAAAGTTCTAGAGTCATACATTTTTGACAAAAGAAAAATCGAAAAATCGAAAAAAGAGGGATGCAACACGAGGACTTTCCTGGAGATCACCCATCCTAGTACTACTCTCGCCCAAGCACGCTTAACTGCGGAGTTCTGATGGGATCTGGTGCATTAGTGCTGGTATGATCGCATTCGTTACTACATTCAATGCAATTGTATCTATTCTTCTTTGAAGACTTTATGATCCAATTGCCGTGGGTCCCACCATCTATGTAGGAATACCCTTTCTTGTTAATAAGAGCTTTGATACATGCTAAAGATTTGAGAACAATGTCCGAACATATAATTTTTTGCCCCGTAATATAGCAAAGATCATGAAAAGGTTAGAAAAAGTGCATTAAGGTCAAAATTTAGATTAGAAAAAAAACCAATAGAAGAATTCCAATGTCTTTCCTCATTCATTGGAGAGCTCTCTTTGGGCTTTCCGAAAAGGTCACATGCAAAGTTTGGCCTCACGGTCTAAAATTTATAGAGTCATACATTTTTATAAAAAAAAATAGAGAAAACCGAAAAAAAAGAGGGATGCAACACGAGGACTTTCGAGAGGTCACCCATCCTAGTACTACTCTCGCCCAAGCACGCTTAACTGCGGAGTTCTGATAGGATCCGGTGCATTAGTGCTGGTATGATCGCATCTGTTACTACATGCAATGCAATCGTATATATTCTTTTTTGAAAACATTATAATCCATTTGTCATGGGTCCCACCATCTATGTAGGAATACCCTTTCTTGTTTAGAAGAGCTTTGATACATGCTAAATATTCGAAAACAATGTCCGAACATATAATTTTCGCCCCGTAATATAGCAAAGATCACGAAAAGGCCCGAAAAAGTACATTAAGGTCAAAAGTTGGAGTAGAAAAAAAACACAATAAAAGAATTCCATTTTCCTTCCTCATTCATCAGAGAGATCTCTTTGGGCTTTCCGAAAAGGTATCACATGCCAAGTTTGGCCTCACTGTCTTAAAGTTCTAGAGTCATACATTTTTAACAAAAAAAAGAAGAGAAAAACCGAAAAAAAAGAGGGATGCAACACGAGGACTTTCCTGGAGGTCACCCATCCTAGTACTACTCTCGCCCAAGCACGCTTAACTGCGGAGTTCTGATGGGATCTGGTGCATTAGTGCTGGTATGATCGCATTCGTTACTACATTCAATGCAATCGTATCTATTCTTTTTTGAAGACTTTATGATCCATTTACCGTGGGTCCCACCATCTATGTAGGAATACCTTTTCTTGTTTAGAAGAGCTTTGATACATGCTAAATATTCGAAAACAATGTCCGAACATATAAATTTCGCCCCGTAATATAGCAAAGATCACGAAAAGGCCCAAAAAAGTACATTAAGGTCAAAATTTGGAGTAGAAAAGAAAACCAATAGAAGAATTCCATTTTCCTTCCTCATTCATTTGAGAGCTCTCTTTGGGCTTTCCGAAAACGTATCACATACTAAGTTTAGCCTCACGGTTTAAAAGTTCTAGAGTCATACATTTTTAACCAAAAAAAAAAAAAAAAAAAAAAAAAAAAAAAAAGAGGGATGCAAAATGAGGACTTTCCTAGAGGTCACCCATCCTAGTACTACTCTCGCCCAAGCACGCTTAACTGCGGAGTTTTGATGGGATCTTGTGCATTAGTGATGGTATGATCGCATACGTTACTACATGCAATGCAATCGTATCTATTCTTTTTTGAAGACTTTATGATCCATTTGTCGTGGGTCCCACCAGCTATGTAGGAATACCCTATCTTGTTTATAAGAGCTTTGATACATGCAAAATATTCGAAAACAAAATCCGAACATATAATTTTCGCCCCGTAATATAGCAAAGATCACGAAAAGGCCCGAAAAAGTACACTAAGGTCAAAATTTGGAGTAGAAAAAAAAACAATTGAAGAATTCCATTTTCCTTCCTCATTCATCAGAGAGCTCTCTTTGGGCTTTCCGAAAAGGTATCACATGCCAAGTGTTTGGCCTCATGGTCTAAAAGTTCTAGAGTCATACATTTTTGACAAAAGAAAAATCGAAAAATCAAAAAATGAGGGATGCAACACGAGGACTTTCCTGGAGGTCACCCATCCTAGTACTACTCTCGCCCCAGCAAGCTTAACTGCGGAGTTTTGATGGGATCTGGTGCATTAGTGCTGGTATGATCGCATTCGTTAGTACATGCAATGCAATCGTATCTATTCTTTTTTGAAGACTTTATGATCCAATTGCCGTGGATCCCACCATCTATGTAGGAATACCCTTTCTTGTTTATAAGAACTTTGATACATGCTAAATCTTCGAGAACAATGTCCGAACATATAATTTTCGCCCCGTAATATAACAAAGATCATGAAAAGGTTAGAAAAAGTGCATTAAGGTCAAAATTTAGAGTAGAAAAAAAAGAATAGAAGAATTCCAATGTCTTTCCTCATTCATTGGAGAGCTCTCTTTGGGCTTTCCGAAAAGGTATCACATGCCAAGTTTGGCCTCACGGTCTAAAATTTACAAGGTCATACAGTTTTATAAAAAAAAATAGACAAAATCGAAAAAAGAGGGATGCAACACGAGGACTTTCGAGAGGTCACCAATCCTAGTACTACTCTCGCCCAAGCACGCTTAACTGCGGAGCTCTGATAGGATCCGGTGCATTAGTGCTGGTATGATCGCATCTGTTACTACATGCAATGCAATCGTATCTATTATTTTTTGAAGACTTTATGATCCATTTGCCGTGGGTCCTACCATCTATGTAGGAATACCCTATCTTGTTTATAAGAGCTTTGATACATGCAAAATATTCGAAAACAATGTCCGAACATATAATTTTCGCCCCGTAATATAGCAAAGATCACGAAAAGGCCCAAAAAAGTACATTAAGGTCAAAATTTGGAGTAGAAAACAAAAACAATAGAAGAATTACATTTTCCTTCCTCACTCATTGGAGAGCTCTCTTTGGGTTTTCCGAAAACGTATTACATACCAAGTTTGGCCTCACGGTCTAAAAGTTCTAGAGTCATACATTTTTAACAAAAAAAAAAAAAAAAAAACAGAAACAGAGGGATGCAACATGAGGACTTTCCTGGAGGTCACCCATCCTAGTACTACTCTCGCCCAAGCACGCTTAACTGCGAAGTTTTGATGGGATATGGTGCATTAGTGCTGGTATGATCGCATTCGTTACTACATGCAATGCAATCGTATCTATTCTTTTTTGAAAACGTTATGATCGATTTGTCGTGGGTCCCACCAGCTATGTAGGAATCCCCTATCTTGTTTATAAGAACTTTGATACATGCAACGAAAACAATGTGCGAACATATAATTTTCGCCCCGTAATATAGCAAAGATCGCAAAAAGGCCCGAAAAACTACATTAAGGTCAAAATTTGGAGTAGAAAAAAAAAACAATAGAACAATTCCATTTTCCTTCCTCATTCATCGGAGAACTCTCTTTGGGCTTTCCGAAAAGGTATCACATGCCAAGTTTGGCCTCACGGTCTAAAAGTTCTAGAGTCATACATTTTTAACAAAAGAAAAAATAAAAAAACCCGAAAAAAAGAGGGATGCAACACAAGGACTTTCCTGGAGGTCACCCATCCTAATACTACTCTCGCCCAAGCACGCTTAACTACGGAGTTCTGATGGGATCTGGTGCATTAGTGCTGGTATGATCGCATCTGTTACTACATGCAATGCAATAGTATCTATTCTTTTTTGAAGACTTTATGATCCATTTGCCGTGGGTCCCACCATCTATGTAGGAATACCCTTTCTTGTTTAGAAGAGCTTTGATACATGCTAAATATTCGAAAACAATGTCCGAACATATAAATTTCGCCCCGTAATATAGCAAAGATCACGAAAAGGCCCGAAAAAGTACATTAAGGTCAAAATTTGGAGTAGAAAAAAAAACGATAGAAGAATTCCAATTTCCTTCCTGATTCATTGGAAAGCTCTCTTTGGGCTTTCCGAAAGCGTATCACATACCAAGTTTGGCCTCACGGTCTAAAAGTTCTAGTGTCATACATTTTTAACAAAAAAAAAAAAAAAAAAAACCAGAAAAAGAGGGATGCAACATGAGAACTTTCCTAGAGGTCACCCATCCTAATACTACTCTCGCCCAAGCACGCTTAACTTCGGAGTTCTGATTGGATCCGGTGCATTAGTGCTGGTATTATCGCATCTGTTACTACATGCAATGCAATCGTATCTATTCTTTTTTGAAGACTTTATGATCCATTTGTCGTGGGTCCCACCATCTATGTAGGAATACCCTATCTTGTTTATAAGAGCTTTGATACATGCAAAATATTCGAAAACAATGTGCGAACAAATAATTTTCGCCCCGTAATATAACAAAGATCGCGAAAAGGCCCGAAAAAGTACATTAAGGTCAAAATTTGGAGTAGAAAAAAAAACAATAGAAGAATTCCATTTTCCTTCCTCAATCATCGAAGAACTCTCTTTGGGCTTTTCGAAAAGGTATTACATGCCAAGTTTGGCTTCACGGTCTAAAAGTTCTAGAGTAATACATTTTTAACAAAAAAAAAAAAAAACCCGAAAAAAGAGGGATGCAACACAAGGACTTTCCTGGAGGTCACCCATCCTAATACAACTCTCGCCCAAGCATGCTTAACTGCGGAGTTCTGATGGGATCCGGTGCATTAGTGCTGGTATGATCGCATCTGTTACTACATGCAATGCAATCGTATATATTCTTTTTTGAAGACTTTATGATCCATTTGCCGTGGGTCCCACCATCTATGTAGGAATACCCTTTCTTGTTTAGAAGAGCTTTGATACATGCTAAATATTCGAAAACAATGTCCGAACATATATTTTTCGCCCCGTAATATAGCAAAGATCACGAAAAGGCCCAAAAAAGTACATTAAGGTCAAAATTTGGAGTAGAAAACAAAAACAATGGAAGAATTACATTTTCCTTCCTCACTCATTGGAGAGCTCTCTTTGGGTTTTCCGAAAACGTATTACATACCAAGTTTGGCCTCACGGTCTAAAAGTTCTAGAGTCATACATTTTTAACACAAAAAAAAAAAAAAACAGAAACAGAGGGATGCAACATGAGGACTTTCCTGGAGGTCACCCATCCTAGTACTACTCTCGCCCAAGCACGCTTAACTGCGAAGTTTTGATGGGATATGGTGCATTAGTGCTGGTATGATCGCATTCGTTACTACATGCAATGCAATCGTATCTATTCTTTTTTGAAAACTTTATGATCGATTTGTCGTGGGTCCCACCAGCTATGTAGGAATACCCTATCTTGTTTATAAGAGCTTTGATACATGCAACGAAAACAATGTGCGAACATATAATTTTCGCCCCGTAATATAGCAAAGATCGCAAAAAGGCCCAAAAAATTACATTAAGGTCAAAATTTGGAGTAGAAAAAAAAAACAATAGAAGAATTCCATTTTCCTTCCTCATTCATCGGAGAACTCTCTTTGGGCTTTCCGAAAAAGTATCACATGCCAAGTTTGGCCTCACGGTCTAAAAGTTCTAGAGTCATACATTTTTAACAAAAAAAAAAAAAAAAAAAAAAACTCGAAAAAAAGAGGGATGCAACACAAGGACTTTCCTGGAGGTCACCCATCCTAATACTACTCTCGCCCAAGCACGCTTAACTGCGGAGTTCTGATGGGATCCGGTGCATTAGTGCTGGTATGATCGCATCTGTTACTACATGCAATGCAATCGTATCTATTCTTTTTTGAAGACTTTATGATCCATTTGCCGTGGGTCCCACCATCTATGTAGGAATACCCTTTCTTGTTTAGAAGAGCTTTGATACATGCTAAATATTCGAAAACAATATCCGAACATATAATTTTCGCCTCGTAATATAGCAAAGATCACGAAAAAGCCCAAAAAAGTACATTAAGGTCAAAATTTGGAGTAGAAAACAAAGACAATAGAAGAATTACATTTTCCTTCCTCACTCATTGGAGAGCTCTCTTTGGGTTTTCTGAAAACGTATTACATACCAAGTTTGGCCTCACGGTCTAAAAGTTCTAGAGTCATACATTTTTAACAAAAAAAAAAAAAAAAAAAAAAAAAAAAAAAAGAGGGATGCAACACTAGGACTTTCCTGGAGGTCACCCATCCTAATACTACTCTCGCCCAAGCACGCTTAACTACGGAGTTCTGATGGGATCCGGTGCATTAGTGCTGGTATGATTGCATCTGTTACTACATGCAATGCAATCGTATATATTCTATTTTGAAGACTTTATGATCCATTTGCCGTGGGTCCCTTCATCTATGTAAGAATACCCTTTCTTGTTTATAAGAGCTTTGATACATGCTAAATATTCGAAAACAATGTCCGAACATATAATTTTCGCCCCGTAATATAGCAAAGATCACGAAAAGGCCCGAAAAAGTACATTAAGGTCAAAATTTGGAGTAGAAAAAAAAAGCAATAGAAGAATTCTATTGTCCTTCCTCATTCATCGGGAAGCTCTCTTTGGGCTTTCCGAAAAGGTATCACATGCCAAGTTTGGCCTCACGGTCTAAAATTTATAGAGTCATACATTTTTAACAAAAAAATAGAGAAAAACGAAAAAAAAGGGATGCAACACGAAGACTTTCCGAGAGGTCACCCATCCTAGTACTACTCTCGCCCAAGCACGCTTAACTGCAGAGTTCTGATGGGATCCGGTGCATTAATGTTGGTATGATCGCATCCGTTACTACATGCAATGCAATCGTATCTATTCTTTTTTGAAGACTTTATGATCCATTTGCCGTGGGTCCCACCAGCTATGTAGGAATACCCTATCTTGTTTATAAGAGCTTTGATACATGCAAAATATTCGAAAACAATGTCCGAACATATAATTTTTGCCCCGTAGTATAGCAAAGATCACAAAAAGGCTTGAAAAAGTACATTAAGGTCAAATTTGGAGTAGAAAAAAACAAATAGATGAATTCCATTGTGCTTCCTCATTCATCGGAGAGCTCTCTTTGGGCTTTCCAAAAAGGTATCACATGCCAAGTTTGGCCTCACGGTCTAAAATTTATAGTCATACATTTTTAACAAACAAAATAGAGAAAAACCGAAAAAACGGAGGCTGCAACACGAGGACTTTGCGAGAGGTCACCCATCCTAGACCTACTCTCGCCAAGCACGCTTAACTGCAGAGTTCTGATGGGATCTGCAGCATTAATGCTGGTATGATCGCATCCGTTACTACATGCAATGCAATCGTATCTATTCTTTTTTGAAGAATTTATGATCGATTTGCCGTGGGTCCCACCAGCTGGTAGGAATACCCTATCTTGTTTATAAGAGCTTTGATACATGCAAAATATTCAAAAACAATGTCCGAACATATAATTTTCGCCCCGTAGTATAGCAAAGATCACAAAAAGGCCTGAAAAAGTACATTAAGGTCAAAATTTAGAATAGAAAACAAACAAATCGAAGAATTCCATTGTGCTTCCTCATTCATCGTAGAGCTCTCTTTAGGCTTTCCGAAAAGGTATAAGTTTGGCCACACGGTCTAAAATTTATAGAGTCATACATTTTTAACACACAAAAAAAGAGAAAAACCGGAAAAAAGAGGGATGCAACACGAGGACTTTCCGGGAGGTCACCCATCCTAGTACTACTCTCCCCCAAGCACGCTTAACTGCGGAGTTCTGATGGGATCCGGTGCATTAGTGCTGGTATGATAGCATCCGTTACTACATGCAATGCAATCGTATCTATTCTTTTTTGAAGACATTATGATCCATTTTCCGTGGGTCCCATCAGCTATGTAGGAATACCCTATCTTGTTTCTAAGAGCTTTGATACATGCAAAATATTCGAAAACAATGTCCGAACATATAATTTTCCCCCCGTAATATAGCAAAGATCACTAAAAGGCCCAAAAAATTATATTAAGGTCAAAATTTGGAGTAGAAAAAAAAACAATAGAAAATCCCATTTTGCTTCTTCATTCATTGGAGAGCTCTCTTTGGTCTTTTCAAAAAGGTATCACATGCTAAGTTTGGCCTCACGTCTAAAAGTTATAGAGTCATATATTTTTAACAAAACAAAAAAGAGAAAAACCAAAAAAAAGAGGGATGCAACACGAGGACTTTCCTGGAGGTCATCCATCCTAGTACAACTCTCGCTCAAGCACGCTTAACTGTGGAGTTTTGATGGGATCTGGTGCATTAGTGCTGGTATGATCGCATCTGTTGCAACATGCAATGCAATCGTATCTATTCTTTTAAAAAGACTTTATGATCCATTTGCCGTGGGTCCCACCAGCTATCTAGGAATACCCTATCTTGTTATAAGAGCTTTCATACATGCAAAATATTAGAAAACAATGTTCGAACATATAATTTTTGCCCCGTAATATAGCAAAGATCAAGAAAAGGCCCGAAAAAGTACATTAAGATCAAAATTTAGAGTTGAAAAAAAACCAATGGAATAATTCCATTGTCTTTCCTCATTCATTGGAGAGCTCTCTTTGGGATTTCCGAAAAGGTATCACATGCCAAGTTTGGCCTCACGGTCTAAAATTTATAGAGTTATATATTTTTAACAAAAAAAATAGAAAAAAACCGAAAAAAAGAGGGATGCAATACGAAGACTTTCCGAGAGGTCACCCATCCTAGTACTACTCTCGCCAAAGCACGCTTAACTTCAGAGTTCTGATGGGATCTAGTGCATTAATGCTGGTATGATCGCATCCGTTACTACATGCAATGTAATCGTATCTATTCTTTTTTGAAGACTTTATGATCCATTTGCGGTGGGTCCCACCAGCTATGTAGGAATACCCTATCTTGTTTATAAGAGCTTTGATACATGCCAAATATTCGAAAACAATGTCCGAACATATAATTTTCGCCCCGTAATAAAGCAAAGATCACGAAAAGGCCTAAAAAAGTACATTAAGGTCAAAATTTGGAGTAGAAAAAAAAAATAGAAGAATTCCATTGTGCTTCCTCATTCATCGGGGAGCTCTCTTTGGGCTTTCCGAAAATGTATCACATGCCAAGTTTGGCCTCACGGTCTAAAGGTCACAGGGTCATACATTTTTAACAAAAAAAAAGAGAAAAACCAAAAAAAAAAAGAGGGATGCAACACGAGGACTTTCCGGGAAGTCACCCATACTAGTACTACTCTTGCCCAAGCACGCTTAACTGCGGAGTTCGATGGGATCCGGTGCATTAGTGCTGGTATGATAGCATTCGTTACTACATGCAATGCAATCGTATCCATTCTTTTTTGAAGACTTTATGATCCATTTGCTGTGGGTCCCACCAGCTATGTAGGAATACCCTATATTGTTTATAAGAGCTTTGATACATGCAAAATATTTGAAAACAATGTCCGAACATATAATTTTTGCCCCGTAATATAGCAAAGATCATGAAAAGGCCCGAAAAATTACATTAAGGTCAAAATTTGGAGTAGAAAAAAAAACAAATAGAAAAATTCCATTGTGCTTCCTCATTAATTGGAGAGCTCTCTTGGGGCTTTACGAAAAGGTATCACATGCCAAGTTTGGCCTCACGGTCTAAAATTTATAGAGTCATACATTTTTAACAAAAAAAATAGAGAAAAACCGAAAAAAGAAGAGGGATGTGATATGTCTATAATTTGCATGTTTAACACATCCTTTTATCACCATTTTGAGTCTAGTTTCATCCATCTTTCATAGCATTCACCATCATTTTTGTACATTTTGCATCTTTAGTCGAGTCTAGGACTAGTCTTGCATACATTCTGCATTCTGGAGTTGTTTCAGGTGTTTTGGAGCTATTGGTGCTCAGAAAGAGGGAAAACAGAACAGAAAGTCACACTTCCACCAACATACTCGATCACCAGTAGTAGAGAGGGAAGCAGTCAGTAGTCCATCCAGACACTTCTACTCGATCGCAGAGGAGACCAGGCAGTCCATTCTGCCAGATATACTCGACCGCAGAGGAGAGGAGGCAGTCCATTCTACAATTCTACTCTATCGCAGAGGCGACCAGGCAGTCCACTTTGCTAGTCCACCAGTTATACTCGATCGCAGAGGAGAAGAACCAGTCCATCCTGACAGCTGACACACTTACTCGATCACAGAGGCCAAGAAGCAGCCCAGACCATTCTGTCAACCAACCTACTCGGCCACCACCTCGACCCTCTGATCAATTCGCACTCAACCAGACAACCTGAGCATCGGAAAGAGAAGAGAAGAGAAGGCCCATTGAAGCCCATTCGAAGCCCATTAGAAGCCCATCAGGAAGCCCACTTTGAGCCGACACTCTTGATCACGCCGTCCATGGGCCGTTAAGTGGGCTCGAAGCCCGCTTTCTTATCTTAGTATAAATAAGTCTCTAACGGTTTCGCCCTGGGACATGCACTTTTTAGACACGAATTTCGCACTATTATTCAGCAGCCGCTTTTCATTCCTACAACTTTGTATTTCGATTTTTCTTCTAAGTTATTCAGATTTTGCTTTCATTTGCTTGTTCATCTTTTGTTTCTATGTTATTGTCTTTAAGCATGTTGTCTGAGTAGTGATTAGGATTTCTGAGGATGGGATAGACTAGTTATGGAACCCCTGGTCGAATATGTTGGTTAAGTGTAGATTTATTGAATCCCTTCTGGATTAGTTGTGTTTACTGCTTATTCCTTTCTAATCAATTGGAATCCGATCCCAGACGTTCCAGCGCCCAGAAGGCGTTTAATGGAACGTTGGATCTACTAATTCCAGTGATAATCGTCTCTATCCCAAGGGATTGTCCCTTTAGAGCGGTTATTGGCTTTAACAGTTGGTTCTTATTGCCTGCTTAGTTAGAGATCGTTAATGGGAATTAGGTCTGTGTCTAGCTATGCTTGAGGATTTCTATCACGGGAGTGAATTAATCTGTTGTTGAACCTGTTGTCTAAGGATAGCTTAATTGAGATTTGTTAACCAACTGAATTGATCAGGGAGACCACACTATTCGATTACCCCATCCTTAGGAATTTCTCATCCATTTGATTTCTCTGTTTACTTACCTGCTTCATTCACTTGCTATTGAATTTTAGTATTTTTCTGTTTTCAACCATTCTACTCGATCACACCAGTCTACTAACAGTGAGACTGCGTGATAGAGTAAACTGGTCCATTTCTGCATTTTCACACTCTCTCATCCTGTTGTACTCGATCACAGGGTCCCTTCTGGCAGTCGACCCTGCGATAGAGTATATCAGTCATTTCTGTGACTTTTTACTGTTTTCTGCATCAACAGTAGGACTGTTAGAAAACCAACCAAATTCTGCTTGGCTTGACTTAGCAACTTCTGATCATATCTCATATGTCTGCATCACACCCATTTGGATTGACACCTAAAATACTACAACGACAGGATAGAGTTTTAGGATAATTGACCATAAAAACATACTATCAATTTGGCGCCGTTGCCAATTGGGTGTTTCTTTGCTATATTTGAGATTTTTGGAAACATTAAGATCAAGTTCGTTTGTTACAAGGTTATTGACTCAGTGTCTTTTTCTCTGTTTGTGTGTTTCAGGTACTCACATTCACAAGCTTCCCTGGACCAGTCTCTGATTGGTCTGTTCAAGCTGTGCTGATACCTGTTGTATGCAAACACGGTCACAAGGGCATCAGAACCTCCTCTTCAACGACAACATCGACCGCATCGCTCGCTCTCTAAGGGAACAGACACATACACACACGATGGCTGACATTGTAGATGAGCAAGAATTGCCCAACAACATTGGCGCTGGCGACTTCCCACACAACCATAACCTGCATCATGGCATTGTCCCTCCGCCGGTTCAGAACAATAATTTCGAGATCAAGAGCGGTCTCATTGCTATGGCTAAGGGGAACAAATTTCACGGTCTGCCAATGGAAGACCCACTCGATCACCTGGACGAGTTTGAAAGGCTGCAGCCTTACAAAAATTAATGGAGTTAGTGAAGACGGTTTCAAGCTTCACATGTTCCCGTTTTCACTTGGAGACAAAGCCCATCTGTGGGAGAAGACGCTACCCCAGGGATCAGTCACAACCTGGGACGACTGCAAGAAAGCCTTCCTGGCTAAATTTTTCTCTAACTCCAGAACTGCCAGACTCTGGAATGAGATATCCGGATTCACACAGCAGAATGCTGAAACCTTCTCTGAAGCATGGGAGCGCTTCAAAGGGTATCAGACAAAATGCCCACATCATGGAATTAAGCAGGC